CACCATAACGGCAGGACTTAGAGCAGGCACTCGTGCTGCTGGTTGAGATCCCATCGGTAAATGATGTGGCGTGTAAGCTTTGGTAGTTGCTGGAAAGCGGGGACGACGATCCCGATCGAACTTCATCTCGGGATCACTGTGTGATCGTCTTGAATTTGATGGAAGATCCACTGCAGCAGCAGCAGGTATGCTGGGTTTATTGATGAGAACTCCTCGGGACGGCTTCGGCCCTATAAGTATATTCTTTGATATTCCCATATGCGGCAATTTCGGGCTGAGTTGCAAGGGTGGGTATAAATCGTCAAACCAGCACTGCATTTACATTCACAGGAGTTTAAATCAATTACAATAAAGCTGCATCCTGTGTGTATCAAAGGATTGAGTTCCTTTTTTGGAATTCTTCAGTAAAACATTTGCACTAGAAACGAGTCTGGTCCTTTCTAGGATCTCTAACGGAAACTCACTCTCCATTATTTAACTTTGAGCAAAGCTTCACCGGTTTCGAAACAAATACAGCACGAAGGTCAAGAGAAACTTCAGCGAAAGGTGATACAAACGACACTGACTTACCCGCAGGACCCGACAGTTTGGAAGTTGTTGGCAACGGCATTAAATCAGAGGTTGGGTAACCCGGACTAGCAAGTGTACCAGAACGAGGTGTCCCCGTAGGAGGAGCTTGACCGCTGATTCCTGAAGTGGTAACTGATGAGGAAGTCGTAAAAGCCCGAGTCGGAGCCTCAGCGATTGGAGGCCCTACCTGAAAAAAGTAGATTCTTATATACCATTACGTATAAAAAAGATTTAAGAAAAGTGCAAATTCAAAAGATGCAGAAGGAGAACAGCTTAGTCTATCACCCATATTCACATATACGCCATAGAAACGCCTACACTCCATGTTAAACTTCATCCTACAAGTCAAAATATTTCAGCATTTGTATGCTGCTGAGCATTCAGCACTCAGTAACACTGAATCGTCAGCCCGTCTTGAACGTTAATGCGGGACTGGATAGCATCATGTTTAATCAAAATGGTGTATTGGTAGAGTCTAAAGCAATGATAACATCTAGATGATTGACAGCATATTTGGAAGAAAGTTTTCTTCGGTAAAGATACTCGAAAGCTGAAATCCGAAAGGTGTCAAAGATTAATCTATAACTTTGACCATAGCCCCTACTCAAAGCGATAACAATAATTCTAAAATTTGCCCAGAAACTGTAATCAATAGCGCTAATTACCCCTCTTTGTTATTACAGATTTAAACGTTTACACACTCATCACAACCGGATGATAACACTTTAATCAGTTTCCACTTTCGTTGAAATATAACAGATGATAAGAAACGCACGAGGCTTGGCCTCCTTCGGCCAACGTTGAACGATCGCCGCACTTTTCGTCGTATGCTCCTCATAAAATTGGTGTTTGTTGCCGTTCCCATTCCAGCATGACATGCAAAAAGCCGTCGAATAATTCCTCTCTGTTCCCTGGTGCTTTTGGCAAGCATTCGCTGAAGAAACCTATAATAACCACTGAGTGTACGGCATAAATGTGCAGAAAGTGGTACGAATGTATTGTACTTTTTGGAGCAGATAAATCCAGCTTCTTGAGCAAAGAACAACAAATTTAGGTGTATTTATAGAAAACAATCCAAAACTATAATTCAATGAAGAAAAGACGAAATTTGACCATAACTGGCACGTGAACAGAAGTAGATTATAAGTCTAACTAAATCTATGTCCTACCCAATTTAAAATAGTAAAATCAAAGCAAGCAGAACGCGAAGATGTTTTCTATGCGGTCCATGACATTGAACTATATTACCTCTGTGTATTCCCTGTAGCCAAACTTTGAGGAGTGCGACCGTGTAGATCTTGGGCCAATGGATCAGCGCCATAATGCATCAAAAGTTGTGCCATCGCCAAACAGTCATACGCACATGCAACATGCAGCGGTGTCAAGCCATCCTCCTCTCTCGCACATGGGTTTGCTCCACGCACTGAAACCAGCACATTTTTTTTGGAAATCTAGTATGGGAACATAAAGCATTGACTTACACAGGAGGTTCCGTGCCGCATCCAGGGCCGTTGTGGTAGAGCTGCTCGCCAAAAGATGTAATGTGTTCGTCATCAGCCAGGTAGATCGATCATAGGGTGTCTGTACAACAAGTAAACATTTTGACAAGTAAATAAACATATGAAGGCTGTTGCAGCGAAGTTGTAGCGGCGAAAGAGATAAAGATAAAAACGACGAAAAAACGACGCAAAAGCGATTTGGAAGGCAATGCAGAGCTGAACAAATTGGCATAACACTAAAAAAAGAATAAGAAAAGTAGAATCAGACTAGAAATAGTGATAATGTATGACAGCGACCTGAACGCATCTCAATTAATCAAAATGAAAAGGAATTAAAATTTATTGTGCATATGTGAAAATCTGAACAAGAGCAGTGAGCTGTTGAAGCACATTGAAGCAAAGCAGAAATGTGTTTTGAACGTTGTTAAATTAGCCGGATATATATGGACTTGCACCCTAAAACTTTGAATTCTTCCGGTGTACAACTTAAACAACGCAGTTGCGCATAATAGTAAACAAATCAATAGATGACACATTAAGGCTCAATATTAAGTACTATTATGGATTGCCTGACCCCGAACAACAATATACAACTCGTGAAAGATCAAAAATTCATACCAATCAAACCCAACGTCAGAAGTAAATTTTCCAATCACATTACTCCTATCTATCATAAGGTAAAACGTCAACGTAGAAAATATGATCAGACAAGCATCTAATTGGGCATATAAATGAAAGAATCACAGTGACACGAGGAAGTAACCGTAGGACTATTGGCACAGGTAATGGGCTCCTAAAGTAATGGATCTAAGGCAAAAAAGGGCTTGATGCTAAAAAGAATGGGGCCTTTTGTGTACATGAAAACAGGGATGGAGGTAGTACTGGGACATAATCAATCGTTAGACGTAAAGATACTGTGTATGCCAAGGTAGTTTAGAGCAATGATAGCAGTCAAAGGTCACATCTGTGTTCAAAGGTGTGGATATAAAAGCAATTGAATAAATCCAACACCATAATTAAAAGCTATCCATTGAAAAATTAAAACGAATTTACGTTAAAGCAACGTTTGAAAGAAGTACCAGCGCCCACAAGTAAAACCCATTTCTATTCGCGTGAAAACGCTCTACAAAGCTATTTCACTACATTACATGACATTACATTGCAAAACATTAAAACAAATGAGCAAAGAACTATGAAACACACTCTTTGCAAAAAGCCATTTGTCCAGGCACATAATCTCTACATGGACAAACCCTCATGGCATTAGTACCTGTCGGTGGTCGAGTTGCACAGCTGAACATGAGTGGATTGATCTGCCGAGAACAATTATATGGAGCATGGGGTTCCGTTGAGTTCACCAAGTTTGCAGGCGAACAAGCGGCAATGCTGAACTATGCACCATTCAGATAATGCTGTTTTGCTGATAAGCATGAGGTCAACAAAACAAAGTCAGCACCAGTTCCAGAGTTCTACAAAATAGGCAAGAAAAGAGGGAGGTGGGATAGAGAAGGTGCGGATATAATGATTAAGATAAAAGTCCTTAACTCTCTACAGTTCGAGGCAAATCAAAAAATTAACGTCACCATCAAAGACTATTGAGATTGGAAGAGAAGAAATGTCTTTAAAACAAAAATAAGCAAGATAGTTGTTCACCAGATGCATCATGTGTTTTAAAAAGGGGTTAGCAGAAAAGATCTGGTGCGGAGTAATTAAAATGCTTCCATGAAAAATGTAGTCACGTGAAAAAAGATGAAAACTAGGAGCCTACGCTGATGCTGTCCACAAAAAGTTGACAATTCAACAAATTAATTGTTAAATAGACTCATACCTAGCAACGAACTCGGATAAGTTGATGAGCGGGAAAAACGATGGCTCACACACGAAGCCTTCAAACTTGCAAGCCATCTCACAAGAATCACCTGGAGCACCCAGCTTCGGCTGAAAGTGATACTAACATAAGATTAGCTGAACGAATTTTGAAAAGCAACAGTTTCTGAAGAGAAAAAAAAAGAAGAAATGAAAAATGAATGGGTGAAAACAAAGACTTCAGTATGTAGGCACATGATCAATGCTCCATGAAAGCCTAGACATGAAGTTCTTATCAATGGGAGTGTTAGAAAAACACACCACAAAAGCGCTCCGTGGGGGCCACCTTGACGCGCCAGTGCAGAGGTCGCGGTGAATCAACATATTTACTCTAATCAGCATTCCTTCCGGAGTGAATTCTTCTGGCACAAACGGCTGAGGCTTAAACAAACATATTCAAAAGACGACTCAATTTTAAAAAAATCATGAAACGAACTAATCAATCAGTTAGAATCAAGAGGAGCTGTTTTAAAAAGTTGTTGGGGGAAAAGCTTCCCCTCAATTGAAATTGTTACAGCGTTTCATCTTAATGTTTAAAGGCCTTGTTTAACGAAGTATTAAGAAAATAACTTCTGGTAGTAAATGACACAGCCAAAACTGACTGACCTCCCTTGATAAGGCTTCCCCTATAACATTTCTCAGTTCGTCGGTATTGTTAAAGTTAACGGTATAAACATGAGGCGCTCCAATACGCTCCATGTAAGGGGACTGGCTAGTGAACTAAAAAACAATTACATAACATGCTCTACTGCAATTTCCATCAAGACGACAATCCTGTACAAATCTTGCACCGGGCTCACCTCTCGCAGTGTAGGCTTGTCGCGGAAAAAAGGGGTGTTCAATCGATTTTTCGGAGGTTCAAACTTGGGATTGATAAATACTGCGCCATGTGCTACAGCCTCTAACGGAGCCGGGCCTGAAACATTACAGAGCTGGCATTCTTGAACATTACGAACAAATCAAAGGCAGCAAATTCAAATAGAAGGCAAAGAGCCCACAAAGAATGTATGAACCTTCGAATGGAAATCCGAGGCCGACAAAGATATTGACTGATTTCAAGAGAGCAGCAATTTCGGTGGTGTTCAAAAAACCATGATTGACGATCTCAGAAAACACGGATTCATTGGCGTTCTTAAGATCGGCAACAGTAGCGTGTACCTAAACTACGTAATCATAACACCTCCGGCTTGTAGCTCATTTAAACCTCCCAATTCAATAGAATCCAACCTCTGTAAGAGATTTTAGTACTTCAATAACAGGTTCTGATTCTGTCCACATATATTTTTCCTTTCCATAAACCAGTGATAAGGGGCGTTCAAGAGTTTCTCGATCGTAAAGTGGTTCCACATTGGGGCGATGAATCGCAAACCCGAGAAAGTCGTTGTCGGGTGTATGCGGGAAGAAAGTCCAGTGTTGTAAAAGCTTCAGTCCATGCCCTCCCCACGGATTAGTGGATGTACCTCCTGCAACACACCAAAATTGAGAACACTCGGAAAAATCTCAAAAAAAAANAAAAAAAAACCTATATAGCAACTGTACCTTTCTGAGCGAAGTCTGCTTGGTGCGCTTTGAAATAAGACCTGTAGTTGAATTCCACATGTGTTCCAAAACTATCGACCAAACGTATCAGACATCTGCAAGCGTATCAAAAATTCATGTTATATGCTACAATTGTGCTCTGCTTCCCGCAAAAACACTTCAAACTAACGGTCGAAAGCGACATAAAATAAAAAAATTCGCTTATTTACTTGTTTCGTAGAAGGAATTCTCTCCGCGAGCGAAATGACCTCAAGCCAATAATATCAGTGATTATCAGATCCACGTGATTTTGCTTACTGGGACATGGTCCGTCAAAAGGAAACTTGTCAACATGCCTAAACGCAAAACACACAATCTCAGAAAAAATACCCAGTCATGTGTGGAAAGTCAGCCAGAAAGTGACAGGGAAGGTACCATTTCATTCCAAATTCCTGGCCAACTTTCCCCACGAAACAGAAAAGTGGAAGCCAACAATAGAAAATAGTCACAGTCACACCCATTAGCAAGTCTGGAGACTAGAGAACTGAATAATTTCAACATTCCCAAAAGTTTCCATTCAAACACCCACCGAATAAGAGATGGCTTATCGTTCGATATGTAGAGGTTGTGTCCCAGAAGAAACAAACACGCAATAAGATCTGACCACTGTAGCAATTCTCCTGAAAGAACATCATAGTTGGGATGTCACGAAACCATGGAATCGTATTGAAGAAGATGAAAACCGGAATTTTGAAACAGCGAGAACCGCCATCGATCTAGTGAATCATGGGATCAAGCGTTCATTTGTACAACGATTCAAAAGAATGACATGCATCTAGTGCTGTAGCTGACTTCGCAGTTCATCATTATAATATTTTCATGATCACAAACTAATGGCAATACCTAAGGGTCCTCCATTACGAGATTTTTCACCAATGTGTAAATTCGCCTCAGTAAGAAGTCCCAAGTGTATAAGTATCTGCAAAGTTAAATGTGATGAAAGCAAGTAAAAAAGACAAATCAAAAGGAATAAATTCACCATACATTCATTTTTCTCCTATTTGATGTAGATTTTGGATATTTGAGAAGAGTCACATCCAGAGCTTCAATCCAGCCTGACCAGTATTGTGTGAGACGATCCTTGATGTAATCATAATTACCAGAATTCCCATCGAGTACCGAGAAAAGCTTCTTCAGGTCTGTGTTGGGCTGAAAACCAGATCGCCACTAGATCGAAATGTAATTTATCATACTGAAGAACAAGAATGCGATAAGTTTTCATCGATATCAAAGGGCATCAGGATGAGTATGCCCTGCACACAACAAGCACATAAGTTCAAGAAAACTTCAGGCTCGGTGCTATTACTTTCTTCAATCTGTTTCTGATATTCAACGCGATTATTACACTCTACAAGTTAAACAAAAAGTGGGTCATTCCGCTGAATGAAGCGCTGATTCATAGTAGTTTCAAGTGGGAGGATTGAACAAAAAGAATCAGAGATGCGGAGGAAGGATTCTACATCTGGTTCAATATACCTTTTTATGACTGTTATGCCCTTTTTTGCCTTGATTGCCAGGCACCGATGACAATGTAACAAGTGATGGACTTAAATAAACAAACGCCCTTGTTTTTTGGTTAATTGCAATGTAAGCAAGGATGCGGAGGTAGGATTGTACGGCTGGTTCAATATCATAGCTTTTTTATGGCTATTATGTCCTTCCTTGCTTTGTATCGCCAGGCACCGGTGAAAATGGGAATGTGATGGACTTAAATAGATGGACACACTTGTTCGATGATTAATTACAGTGTCAGCAAAGCCACTCCTTCAGCAAAATTAATATATGGACTTCGGTCTAGTCTGTAGAGAACAACTACATATCGCTGAAATCCCATATAAAAGAGAAAAACGAAAAGTTGGATAACAGAGCAAGACACAAGACTGCTTTAGAATCGAGGTTATATTGAAACGTTTTGGCCATGCACGAAACCTCATCGGTTCTCTCTCATTTCAATCTTGTGTCAATGATTCGAATGCTGTGGGTCAGTATTGGTAAATCACAAATCATAAATACCACCTCGGAAAGAAAGTTGAATGCGCGTGATTATGTGACATACCTGAGCGAAATTGGTGCTTTTTAGACTGGATTCCACACCTTCTAAAGAAACTGGAGGGCAATGGTTTTCAATTTCAGAAAGGTAGCGTCGCATAGAGCAGATGGACCTTAACTAGGTGAAAACCAGTCTGGTAAAAAAAAANNNAAAAAAAAACATTAAAAAACTCAAATAGAAAGAAGTGAGAAACATGAAACGCCATGAACTTCTTGATAAAGACTCGAAATTGATCATAATGGAGGTAACCGTACCCATTAACACCATAGTCGGCGTAACATTTATGTGTCTTCCATCCATTCCTCAACCACAAAAGTTTTTCGAAGCAGTTTGGGTACAACAACATATCTTCAGGAAACTGCATGCAATAGAACGATTCCCTACCTGAAGATGGGAGCATTAGCTCAGTTAATTGGAATTGGAATTGAAGTGGCACTTAATGAAAACATGATATCATTGAAATTCAGAAGAAACTAGGTTACTTTGCTTCCCTTTCGACCTTGGAATTTATAGCAATTCGGCCATTGAACCCGCAAATTTCTAACATATGCCAGAATAAGATCCCTCACCAGATGCTGTTAACTACTACTTTACAAAAGTGGATGGCACAGGGAAAGATCTTATCAAATGAATCAATAAATCAATCTCTATCACTACTTTAGGCTCCACATTTAGGGAGCACCAGAACTAGTGGCATCTGGATGGCTCCCAATTTTGCTGTGAACGAAAACCCTCATTTCAGAACACTTCTGCTTTGAAAGCAAGTTAGCCCAGAAGGGGATTACTGCAAAATACCAGGGAAACCTTCAACTCGAAAATCGAACATTCCCATCCGTGACTACAATGCAACAAAGGCCACTTCATGCTCAATCGAGATAATATGACGTATTCAATACCACTGAGTCATCAAACTCCTCCTAGCAGAACGTTCCAAAGATTCTGGGGCGATTATGTAAATACCGTAAGCCAAACGCGCGTTCCAAGTCGGTAAAACGAGTCAGTACTCCAAGTATAGTTGTTTGAAAAACTATTTCAAATCCAGTAAAGGGCGTAATTAAGTAAACAGTAATCAGTAATGGAGTACAAAACAGTACTCACTTTCATTTGGGCTCGAGTTGTATTCATTTTGGTAACGAAGAAAATCTTCTCTAGAAACCTGAAAACAACTTGGTAAGGCTTGTTCTTCGACAAGTGGTTGGAATACAGACCGCTGAACGTCATCAAAAATTCAAAAAATAAAGACCACTCACAACTGATGTTCCTAGTTGACGATAAAGAAAGAATATAGGAAATAATGTGAGGAATACAAGCAGCAGAAAAATCACCCACACATTCGTTTTCATTACGAGGAATTCTGCCACAGGAAATAACGGTCGAAACTAGCTAATAAAGCAGAAGAGAGACGCCATCCATTTACATATGTTTGCCGATTCGGAGCATAGAAATGTAAATATGCATTTGAAAAAGAGTATGTAGTAGTGCGTCACGTCAAATTCCAAATTGCACCAACATTCAACTACCGTACTTGTGAAAATGCACCGATTTTTGCCGGTGCCTCACAACAGTCGCAAAAAATCGATAATGGCTCCATTCATGCCCTAATCTGCGTGGGAATTCCCCATACGTCTTATTTTTGATTGCTATTAGTCATATCATATCGCCAGTCGTTAAATTTCTTACTGTTTTAGTTCTTCATAATGTGCCGCTGATTGGTTTCCTGAATAACTTGTTTAACAATGAACTTTAACAATGGTAATCATCCTTCGGCGGTCGATGCCGAACTGCCCTGTGCATCGAGGTACTATTTCTGATTTGTGGTCATTCTTTATTTTAGTTATTCAAGCAATATATAACCGTAGGATTCTATTGAAGCAACAGGTATCCAAAACTATAATTTCCAACACTTTTTTGTAGTTTTTATCAATGAAACTTTAGCTCTCGCCTATTTTTCCTGACTATCCCGATTACTAGTAAAGGTACTCTCAGTTTCGATGCTTAAAACAGAGAGGTTCTCTGTTTTAAGCATCGAAACTCTGGTCAAGCATCTTTGGTTGCTTTTCATCTCTCAAGCTCGAACACTAGCATGATTAGTTGCATTCCAAGTTAAAGAAAGCATATGGTTGGTCGGTTCGCACAAATTGAAATTTTTGGGTTTTTTCTGATGAATTCTTCATTCTGGAATTTGTATACATCAAGACTAGTGATTTTGATAACGAGTGGGACCCTCAGGTAAACAAAACACGTCTCCAAGGCGAGTATGCAGGTGAAAGCACGATAACGTAGGTAGTTTGCCGGGATAATTATATATGTATTGGATAGAGATATTTATTTATTGGGGAGATATAGGAAAAAATAGATTTAGATGAGGTATAAAAACACATGTGGGTGATGTTTGCATAGGGGTCAAAACCCGGAATGAATTAGTCGGTTTGGTTGATTTATGCTTTTACTTGCAGCAATGTTGTGGAATGGGTGGAAATCGTGGAGCCACAAACGAAGCAGCATATGTATGCTAACCTGATATCTGGCCAGTGTGCATGGGAGCCTCCACCTGGGGCGTCAGTGTAAGAAAGCCTTTCATTTGTTTATTTCTATGACTCATTTCTGTATACAAAAACATTGCTATCATCTTGTGCATACTATTCGTCATGGCACAGTCTTCGAATTAAGTAGTTTTGTTGATATCTACACTTGTTCTTAGATGTTTTGTGTGAAGTTCAGTATTCAGAGTGCTGTTTGTCATCAAGTTAACAAGGCTCCTTTATGTTTGCCAAGGGCCATCAAAGGCGCTATTCAGGTGTTCTTGTAGGTGTAAATGTAGGTACGAGTTGGTGAGAGGTACTTACCGATGTTCGGCAAACTACACTGCGTTATTTTCCTAGCTAAGGCTGTGGGCCAGCTTGGAGTATAAGCTTCTAGGAGTCTTTAAATATTCATAGTCTGAAAAGCTGTGTATTGATCTGTGCTCAAAGAGAAATAATTTTTAATAGAAGTCACTACCAGAAAGCTAAATGGGTTGTTCCTTGTATTGGCTCGCTCATTGTCTGTTTTGATTGAGAGAGCATTTCATTCAGCGCCTTGGCCTCGCCTCTTTTGTTACGGTTTGTGTTCACGCACCAACGATAATTTTTACAAAGCTTCAACCCTCGCCCGTTATTTTAATCGAATCGTCCTTGTCGCGAAATAGGCGTAACTACCAGTTTGGAATAAGGTTGTGTTCTGTGAGGCTTCAACCTCTCCAGAGCTTTGATTCCTCACATCGAAGATAAGATGAAGGAGGAAGCCATGAAACGCGTTGTCCACATCTACTTCACGATTACGGCATTTCGAAATTTGATGCGTAAGATTCCTATATCACTTTTAAGTTTTTCAATGAATGCGCCCTCGCTATGTAGACTTTATAGCTCTCTAATGCAGACATTCTTTCACAGTGTGATGAGGCGCTCGTTGGGATTCTATAAAAACAGCAGTGAAGGCCATCATTCAACTCTCCAGATGTTCAGCATATTTTACGATTGCCTGAATTATCCATAAAAAATCGTTTCATTTATGGAGTGCCATATAGCCATACTTGCCTTTCATGAGGGTATAAATGTAAAGTGCCCCATCATTCGATATGATATGTTCCTCATTGTAGGAAACACACACACGAGCATCAGTGGTGGGAGCTGTTCGACTCAAAGACTGGTCGTTATTATTACTACAATGCCTCGTCAATGAAAACGATTTGGCAACGACCGATGGGACCCGAGATTGACATCATTCCTTTGGCCAAATTACAGACTCTCAAAGAAAATACTGAAAGCTCTGAGCATGCTCGGGTATGTTTGGACACATTTTACGAATTGCAATTCATCTGTAACAAATTTTTAACTACAAAGTTTTAGGTTCGACGAACTTGTGAAACACAAACTTCACCGGCTATTCGTAGAGTGGTTGGTGGATCTCGACGTGTGATTGCCCAAAATATTGGGCCTGAAGCGGGTGTTATCATGACGAGGACTGCAAGCCGGTCTTCGAATGGCACTATGAATGGCATGCAGCAATCCTTCGATGTTAGTCATCTTCAATAGCTATCAAAGACCCTTTACCCTCCTCTGGTGCCATCTAAACATCTTTGTAGCGTTGCAAAGTGATACTGCTTGAGCTTTAAAATCTTGAATAATTTATTGAACATTCAGTGGATGTCGCTTGATGATCAGAGCGATAGCTTATCGATTGGAGACAGAGGTGATTACCGTGACTGTAACCGTGATTTCGGACGATCACCGCGCCAATTTCCTCCGTTTCCCACTATGGGGACCACATCAACCATGTCAACTGCACCTTCTGCGGATTCTCTTCCACCTCGGTCATCTCGGTAAGTTCATATACCCTTTGCTAGATTCCATTTTGCCACTCTGGATTCGGCTGTTGGTTCTTTGCAAATATCAGGCTTATAATACTAATCTTGAAGTACTGGTGTACGTTAAGCGATTTCGTCAGGTGCAAGACATGCTCGTTTTACGACAATGTGTTTGATACTCTAGCCATTTGTTGCACTTGAACCATTACGACCTCTTTTTGTTGCAGTCAGTGATTGCTTGAGCCTTTTTTAGGTCCTCGAGCCCTCCAGCGCAGAAACGGCAGTTGTTCCCTACAAACACGGGTCCGAAAAAGTCTACGAATGCTGGTGGTATGTGAATAAAACCTCGTTTGCAAGAAGGAGTATCATTATCAGCAATAAAATTAATTTTCAATTTGAAAGTTTGCAGGTTGGGCAAAAGACGCGCCGAAACAACCATTATCTGCGCCTGACAATAAGCAGCTTAAAAAGGAGTCACCAGCTATTTTTAAGCTCATTCAAGGATATATGGGAGATAGGAAAAGCAAGACACCTATAGACCAGGTTTCGTCCATTAACCATTTTTCTCCTTTTCTTTCTGATCTTCTGCATTTTCATTATCTAGCAAAGCTTGTATTCTTGAGACCAGACGTGTCTTGTTTTCAGCAAGCCTTATCCTTATGCGAGCTCGGTCTTTCTAAGCAGGAATGTGCCGATGAAACTGTAGCTCAGCTTATGCAACAGCTTACAGACAATGAGCGCCCCGACAGTGTTAGGTAAGCTTATTTGTCTGAATTTCCAGTAATTTTAGCTTTTTGCTTGATACATAACAAAAGCTTTGTGATAAAATTACTGGTAATCAAATTTGCGTTCAGGCGAGGATGGGAGCTGTTAGCCATAATTCTTAACTTCGTTACGCCATCTGAAAAGCAGGCTAGCTCTCTAGCAGAGTTTATTGATCGAAACTCCGAAAAAATCTTCGATAGGCCTGAGGTCAGCGTTCGAAATTCGAATAATTTTTTTNTTTTTTTAAATGAATTCAAATGTGCTTTTTCAAATTACCCATTAGCTTGAACCGTTTTTATTTTTGAAGTCTAGAGAGGCTAATGCAAAATCATATAGGTAGCCGTATCTCATTTTGCGCAACAGTGTGCAAAAAGGTTGTCTAAATCGCAAGTAAGGCCTAAGCCTTCGCTTGCTGCTGTACAGGAAGCTCGGGTGAGTCTGTATTTCAAACATAACTCCATATTTTTGTCACTTCTCAAAATTCAATTGATTTATTTGATCAGACTGTTCATCCGATTTTCCATTATGGCTGAGTAGGAGCCATCAACTTTTTAGGTGCACATATTCAATCCTCCGCAGTTTTCTGCATCTTTGAGCGAGTTAATGGAAATGCAGGCTGAGCGTTATCCTCAACTGCAGTTGCCATGGATCGAGACGACTCTTATCGAACTATTATATGAATCTGGTGCTAGAAGGACCGAAGGTTTATTCAGGTAAAATGCTACATTGTAACTTTTGGCGTTGCTTTGTAGAGTAGCTTTTCATTTTATTATGATGCCTGTATGAAATGTGATGCATTATTGAATATCTCACAACATTCTCCTCGCAGTATTGATCCAACTGCTTTTTGCTCATTTCTTTTCTTTTCTGCCTTTTTTCCCGTTCTATCGCTTCATTTCAACTTCATCGGATACGCTTCCAGAGTACCGGCCGATCCAGACCAACTGATGACTACTCGTGCTCGACTCGACATGTTCGTAGTTCCGGTAGTGCATGATCCTCATGTACCAGCTGGCTTGTTGAAGTTGTGGCTGCGTCAGCTACCAGAGCCGTTGATACCACATGCTTTTTATCAGCGTGCTCTGGCAGCATCTGAAAATCCGGTCGAGCTCGCTCGGCTCGTTAAAATTCTCCCAAACATCAACCAGCTTGTGTTAACAAAGCTTGTGGCTTGCCTTCAGGTTTGTATTCTGACATTACCTGTATAATTCTACTTCGTTTTGCTGATTGCTAGTTTTGCAGGATTTGTCTCGCGAAGAGGTCGTGGCGCATACAAAGATGGATGCGTCAAACTTAGCTATGGTCATGGCACCAAATGTGTTGAGGTAACCTCTTTCTTTTTGTAAAATTTACCTCATGGCATTTTATTCTATTGATTCTTCTTTTTCACATTTACGATTATAAAGATGTGAAACTTTTTGTTTTATGCGGATTCTGCTTTAGTAAACAAGTAAATAGTTAACAAGGAATCGCTTCGTCATTCCTTTTTTCCTTTCTTTGCTTGTCCGTTTGAAACTGTTGTCATTTGCTTGTTATTTAGAACTTAAACCTTTTCAGATGTGAAAGCGAAGATCCTCGGGTTATTTTTGAGAATACTCGTCGAGAAATGACGTTTTTGAAAACGCTAATCACCAGCTATGATACCTCTTATATCCAGGGCGTGGTGTAATTTCTCTCCACTTCAATATTTCCATTTATATTCGTCATGGAGAGTTCTGGCCAGAATACCTCTTGCTAGAGTGCGATATCATCTATATTCTGCCATTGCGTTGTGGTTATTGTCACATTGTAATCCACAGATGGTTTTTTCTCGTTTATGCCGTTCTATTAGCATCCCGTGTCTTGAGTCGCCGTAACATTTGCCATTCTAATGAATAGATAATGATTCAGTTTATATCGATCTAATTATTATTTATTTTGTAGAATCCATAGGAATAATGGAGAAAGAGTCACATCAGTCGTTCATATTCTCTAGGCTTAGGACTAGTGTTAAATAGCTGTGTTTAGTTCCTAGTCGAACCGTTTTTGCCGCAATCATCTTATCTTTCAAAGATCTTCTTAACACTGCTTCACAATATCGTAATAAATAAAATGGGAACACCAAAACTGGTTTCACTCTTTTATCAAATATTATTGCTAATATAGCTATATTTCTTGAAACTTCATGACATTTTTACATCCCCATCACCCCTATTTTTTGCGTTCTTTCTATGCGCCCAATTTATGTAATAATTTGTTCTACTTATCACATTGTACAATGTACAGCTAGTTTTCTATGAAGATTGTATATAAGAATAAATCTTTTTTTTTAAAGCTATAGTTAGTAATGATGCTATATGGCGATGGCTGCGCTGACTATATTGAATTTTTCACGCTTATGCTCCGCACAGCATAATTATTCACACTTTCCGCATGTATGATTATTGGGCAGAGAGGGACGAGATGTGGCGGAGGCCATAATGGGCCGATGAGTAGTCCCATTTGGTGGGTCGCCGTTATGCGTATTTAAGAGGCTTTACCCAAAACTCACTGCGATTAGTAGTGACTAGGTTCTCTGCTTGGTATCTTCATCAGAGCTTGTCACCCTCATTTCGATAGGATGGTTGCTCACACTAGAGTACGAGCTCACTTAGTCATAGACCCTACATTGGGACGATGAACATGGATATCCTACAAATTCTCCCACGGATTGTGAGTCACGCGTAAAACGCTTGGTCGCGGATAGAACTCGAACGGATAAAGAACACTGTGTCCTTAAAGTGCGGATGATGACGGGGCAAGCGGGGCCTCGTTAGTGAGCAGCATAAAAAATGGGTGTTCGGAAAGCAGAAGTGCGGGACGTTTGCATCGCGAAAGCGGAGGAAAACAGCAGTCATCTGGGCAACAAGTTGAAACATTACGAAATGGGCAGTGGAGGAGGAGGGAAAGGTAAACCCTGAGTCAAATCTATCTGGACATCTCTGGGGTGAAGTATCGACCGCGTATGTGGGTGAGGGTCACCCACTTCACCTCAGGTTTGGCAGACTACTGATTTTTTGGCTGAAATATATGGCATCGTACTAGTAGCTTCCAACACTTTCTATTTTGAACAAACTAAAGTTTCGGAAGCCTTTCACGGGATTTGTGTGGTGTTTTGGGGGTACCTGCCTTCCACACGTCTGGCAGAGACTACTGAGTTCCCATTTTTTGTAAACAATTTTTTGTTCGTTTGCTTGAACTGGCACCTGCAAATCGAAGAGGGACTTTTATAATGGTTCTGCCCTTTCCCTCACCGATCCTTTTGTCTCTCACATCCGCTTCCTTTTCCGTTCCTTTTGAAGGCGAGATCATTACCCACACCTGCAGTCAGCCCGAAGTCAGAATGAGAGATTGAATGGAGAATATGCAAAGGCTCAAAGAGTGGGGCGTTTCTGATGAATGCTGAAGTCTAATGAAAGAGCAAAGGACAGTCTGAGGGAAAAGACTGGCAGGGAATGAGGAGAAACAGTTGTTCGAGGTTGTGGGTCACCTAACCTCGCCAATCTTATGGATGTCACAAACTCGGATTGATCCTGTTTTCCTGGATAATTGATATCAAAAAGTAATAATTGCCATTCATTTGGAGAGCAAGGGTTATGTACCAATCAGTCAAGTGATTCTTGAAGCAGAGCCGATAGAATTGAATTATTGCTGCTTAGCTGGCAGCGCTTGTATAAGCGACGGGTGCACCGGGCATAATCCCTGGTGATTTGCATGTGGTGGCTGCTAATTGCCAGAAATCAAATATGCCGGCGAAGAGCGACGGTCACTGGGGGGTGATTGCTCTATTTGAATAGCCAGACAAATGATTGAGCTGGTAAGGGAAGTTGTTGAGAAGAAATTATGTCTTACGGGTTTCTAAATGTAGTGAATCCATGAAATTAAACCAATCGTTTGGTCTTGGTCTATTTCCTTCTGGAGAGGTGTTACAAAGCCGTGGAGCTTCTATTTCGTATTTGCAAGCTTAATTACTGATGACGGCTAACCGATGTATGACCCGGTTTTCATTCATCATTCATAATGAACCCTAGGAAAGTCCGGCTGGCATAGACAAGGTTATTTTCGGGGTCAGATCCTGACGGCAGATGTCTTTGGTAGCTTTGCGATCTGACTACGACTATAACCTTGCCCAGGCCAACCGAGCTTTCTTATGGTCCTGTTGGGCTCCGTTGGACCATAGAGGTTCCGTCACGATGACGTAATGGGTCGTTTTCGGAGTTTATCCGCCAACTTCAAGTTGCGACAATGACAGGCTTATTGAGTGGCCTTTTTTTTCTGCTTGCAGTCAGACGGTAATTGGTCATTGGAGAGTGAGAGAGAATTGGTTATGAATTACGAGTCCAGTGACAGAATGTGGCTAGGTGTTAATACAAATTGCGAGCATCGAACTCCCAAGGGACTCGCTGTCTGTCATCATTAAAAGCGCCACTTCATGGGAAACGCGTATATAACGGACAAGGCTCACGCTTTTGCTGGTTCGGTTCAATTCTTGGTTGAATCAGTGGGTTGATTTGGAGCTATGGTCGGAATTATAGATGGAATCTCTTTTTCCATTGTAAATTTTTGGTGAATAGAAGAGGAAGAGCTGTAGTTTATAGTTTGAACTCTCACTAGCTGAGTTTTGTCTTCAAACCGTGACAAAAGTCATTCCTGTCCGCTCCCTTGGGTATCCAAGTGCCTGGATTCTCTTCTATCCTCTTATGAAGATTATTGCGCCGTTGTCATGAGCATCCATCCTTCTTCGCCGTATTTATGATGATCTTAAGAATCAAGATGAATTTATGCTTTGCTCTGATACATATAAAGTTTTGATCTACGCCACCAACTGGTATCCTTTCTTCCTCCTTTATGTGTAGTTTTGTTATTAATCGTACCATCTTCTCACACCACCTCTGTGTCCTTTTTGAAGATATCTTCTTATGTGGTCATCCTTGGTTCTCTTAAATCATGTGGGACCAGGTAGACGAAGAGAGAGTACGCAGAACAAGAAGGGTTGATGAACTGGCCCGCGATTGACAGACTCCATGTAAGCAGCAATTACGGGCCTCTTTTCAGTGACGTATCATAGCTTCGCCTAGCAGTGCTTTCGTAAACAGTTGCAGAGCTAGGAATCTGGCTGCTATTTCCTCACTTCATTTTCATGACAATTTCTACCAAAATAATCATATCATTTGTAGAACATTCATAGGTCATGGCAGATATCGAAGATGGCTTCGATATACGTAACGCAAGCACAGCTCGAAAATTAGACGAAATTCAAATAAAAATCAGGTGAGATTTTTCAAACTTTCTTGACAGAAATCCTGAAAAAGGATCTGTTGGGTCAAAAAAGTAATGTTGTGGACTGTAGGACTGAGGATGAAAGTGCCTTCTTCTTGAGAACGGTTCCTCGTAAAGCATAACCTTTCTTCAAAAAATACCAGACATTCCCAAGACATTCCCAGTCGATTACAAAGTTGTCTTTTTTTCATGTTTCGAAAAAAGTATTGACAGAGCTGCGAACCTAAAGCGAGAAAATTCATCATTCTTGGAGAAACCGATGCTCAAGAGATTAGACTTTCTCATCAGTTAAGAATTGTGAATTCTTAGTGAAGGTCGTAGTTTGGTCACCGTTTTAAAATATTTGAAAATATTAGGTCGAAACGAGATGCTGCAGATATTGGTCAAATGGATTCCTTCGTGCCCGGTGTGACGCCTGTATGGGTAAAGACGTGGGGCTGCTCACACAATGCCAGTGACAGTGAATATATGGCTGGAATACTAGCGAAGGCAAGCCCTCCTATCATTTACCTCTTCAACGTTTTCAGTTTTTTCTTTGCAGATTAGTTAATAATTCACCAATCAAGTAATCAATATAATGGATGTCATTTCTCGTGATTACAGGCAGGATACCCAATTGTTAAGAAGTCATCCGATGCAAAAATCTGGATTTTAAATAGTTGCACTGTTAAAACTCCATCGGAAACGCAAGCGAGTAATCTTTTGGAAGAGGGGCAGAAACAAGGCAAACTCGTCGTTATGGCAGGGTGCGTATCTCAGGTAAGTCATCCGCTACCTTCAAGTTTTTCTATTTATGCCTTTTTGTGCGTCGTAGGCAGCGAATGGGGGGGGG